AATTAGAATGACATAATTAGTATAGTTTTATGATTTTCACTCAAGTTCTCATGATTTTTCTGAAGTTCATGAATCTTCCATTAAATTATCGACACTAATTTAAAACTTCTTCAATAGTCTAGACTTTCCGGGTGTTATTGAAACTGCCTAAACGAATTTCTTTCAAGTTCTCTAGGTTGCCCTGAATGTATCAGTATTTTTAACAACCTGCAACTTTACTGAAATAAATTTATTTGCCTTGAAGTTTGGACAATTTTCCTTAAGTATTCTAACCATTAAAAATGGTCACTTATTTTCCCTGAGCTATGCTTACCTGAAATTTCTCTAAATTTGTTTGTCCGACAAATTTTCTGATATATATATTATATATTTAAAATTCCCTGACCCTGATCAATCATAGAATTCTTGGAATACCCCATAATTCCACGGAATTTCTTGTAAGTCACTGCAAATTTGCTTAAGTTAATGAGATTATTCTGAAGCTATTTGATCGTCCTTGAAGTACTCGAAACTGCTGAATATCATGAAACTATCTAAATACTAACTTCCCTGGAATTTCTTGAAGATATTTATCGCTGCTTGCTAAAAGCTCTCGCATTTTTTTTTAAATGAATGGAACTTCGTTTATATTCTCTAATCAACTTAGCTAAACTTTCGTAGTTCTTGATATTTCCATGATATAACACCTTTAAAATACTCTAACGTTTTCCGGATGTTCATATAATTTTTATCACGTTCCAGAAGTTCTGTCGGAGCATTGTTGAAGTTTCCGGAACTTCTTTAAGGTTTCTACAATTTTCTTTAAATTATTTGAACTGCCCTTGATTCTCTGATCTCTTTTGATGTTCTCGAAGCTTCCCTAAAGCTCTCAGTTCTATTGAAGATAAATTTCCCTGAAATTCTTTGGACTTCTGTGAAGTTCCTGAAATATTTATGAAGTTTTCATAAATTATCTGATGGTCTCTGTACTTCCCTGAAATTCTCTGAACATCTTAAGGGTTCTAAATTTTCCAAAATGTACGATTATAGATATTTAAACCGTTCTAAAAAGTCTGAACTAAAGTCATGGGAACTGCTCTTAAGATCTGAAATTCCCCAAAGATCTATACATCTAGCTTTTCTGATGTGCTTAGATTTTTTTAAATTTGCAAAATACCCCTCAAGGTTTCTATATTTCTCAAGTTTGCTTAACACCTGTGATGTGCTCTGAAATTCTAGGAACTTCAAAAGTTTCTGAAAATTTTAGAATGTTAAAAGAACCGATTTGAGGATCTTAAAGCTTCCAGTAAGTTCCCCATAATTTCAGTGTGTTAACTTCCCTTATGTTCCCGCAGTTTGTTTGTGGAGCTTTACTGAAATTCTCAGAATTTCCTTTCATTCCTCAGAACTTCTTCAAAGTTCCTACAATTGTTGTGAAGTTAATGGGACTGCAATGAAGATCTTTAATATTTCATAAAGTTAATTACGAACTTGAAATAAATCATTTAATGTTTTCCTTAATTCAGGCACTTTGAAAATTTTCAATATCATGAACTTGTACATGGAATACTAAACTACAAGACATTGAATGTTTTTAGATTTTGGACTTACTCAAATTAAGTACGTTTTTTTAAACTGTGAACAGTGAAAAATTATGTTCAACATTTGATTTGATTACAAACTTGTTTCTTTAAAACTGATTGCCATGTCTAAAAACGCTTGGGTTAATTACTGTTAATCTTCCAGAAAAAGCATATTTTGAACGCATTTAAAAAAAGATTTCGGGGCTTATTACGGATGTCACTTCACGGTGAAAACTTGTCACTTGTCGTCAAGGTGAAGTGATTCCCATTTGATTTGTACGGCAACCACGGTGCTTATTCTGAGTATTTATCACTTCCTTATCACCGTGTTATGAAAACCCGTAATAAGGCCCTTAGCCAGTTATTCGTTAAAGTTCTGGGAAAACTTGGAAAACTCAGGAAATGTTATTTATAAAAATGAGTAGACAGCCAGTAGATAGAGAAAGACGATTAAACGTCACAAAGCAAATAATGATCAATATTGAAATAAATTCACGCTAAAATAGTTGAAAATAGTGACTGATTACAAGAAAAAGTGACTTTAGTGACTTGACCTTAAAAAAGAGACTTTTTAATGACTGACTTGAAAAAAGTGACCAAGTCACTAAAAAGTTACTCACTACCAGCCCTGCTAGAAGTAAACACGTGATTTTGTGACCCTTAGCGAAAATTTTGTCCATTTTGTGATATCTTCACTCCTTCTCGAGATATACGCTATAGCGATGTTTCACAGGTAACAATGTGAAGCTTAAGTGTTCTTTAAACAGTTGCCCTACAGCTGTCTACAGCAGCAGTCGATTTTTTATTTCGTTGTGAACCACACGATAGCCTGTTTTCGAGACTCGCTATTATATAGTTGCTCTTTGTTCGTTGCTAGCAGTTCGGTGCCTTTTGTTGCTACGGTGCAAGATGTGTGAAGTAAAAAACACCATCAAGTTTAGCTTCAGCCATTGTGATGCCAAACCAAACATCGGAGAGATAGTAAATTTCGCCAAAGCACTCGACGCGGATCCGGCTGAAATGGAAGCTGTTTATCGCATTGGTGAGGAAAGGGGAGTCTTCATGAAGTTCAAATCAGAGGAAGCGATGCTCCATGCTCTGACATTCAATTCGGAGGATTTAATCTTCCATTATGCGAATGGAACGACGGCAAAGGTACGCATGTCGCATGCTGGTGAATTCATTCAATATGTGCGTGTGTATGACTTGCCACCAGAGGTACCCGACAACGAGCTGGATAAAGTGCTGGGGAAATATGGGAAAATTAAACGCATCATCCGGGAGAAATTTCCAACTGATCTGTGTTTTGAGGTGTATACAGGGATACGCGGTGTATATATGGATGTGAAGAAGGAAATCCCCACGTCATTACATTTCTTCAATCGCAAAGGAAACATTTTTTATGATGGCAACAAAGACAAATGTTTTCTGTGCAAGGCGGACGGACACCGGAAGCTTTCCTGTCCCAAGCGGAATGCTCGGAAGGAACCGGAGAAGCAACTGAAGGAAAAAGGAAAGCAAAGTGAAAGAAAACAACACAGCAGCAGTACGTATGCTGGTGTAGTGGTGGAAGGTGCGTCGTTTGTCATTAGCGATCAGGAAACGGATACGGGGTTGGAGATGTTGAATGCAGATAACGAAATGGACGTGACTACCCCGACGACCGACGAGAGTAGCGGAGAGCATGCAACGGGAAACGATGTCCAGAAACAGCAGCAGCGATCACGATTCGGGTTCAATGAAAATGAGGAACAAATTCGGGAAAGAAAGAAGTTGCGTGCACGGGAGAAGATCGCTTTGTCGCCGCTTCGATCGCCACCCAGAAAAATGATATGATAAAATATATTTGTACATATTTTTCTTTTGTATTTTGAGTACCATAATTGGTATTCTATGTTACTCGGCTCCGCTAAGTTATTTTTATAACATTTGAGCCTGCCAAATAAACGAAATGAAAAAAAAAAAAAAAAAAAGTGTTCTTTAAACGATTTTAATTCAGCCGTCTCCACTCTACTCGATCCATGGCCACACGTCGCCAGCCTCGTAGTCTGCGAAGGGTCCGCAGGTCGCCTTCTACTTGGTCGATCCAGCCCGCTGCACGCCCCTTCTTGTTGTTCTTGTTGGGACGCTTTAAAATTCACCCCAGTATGTAAATAAAGGCCGCCATTTCGGATCTTAACAACCCACGAAATAATTACACAACACAAAAAGCTTCACTTTTTCTCTTTTTATTCAACTTTTTTTACGACCTTTTTCTGCTCACTGGCAAAATACGTATCGTTTCAAACGTTTGCACGATTTTATTTCATCCTACCGTTTTACACAGTAGATAAATCCTACTATACTATACATCTCTGTCTCTGGTTTTCACATTTGATTTGGGTGGATTTAGCGTTCCATCTTCGGGTCGACATTTTATAGCGCCAACAAACTCAATCCCACATCATCCACTCATATTTCCCCCCCCCAAACGATCCCATTTCCATAATCTGAAATATTCAACTTTGGCGTACCGCGAAAAAGAACACATGAAAACAAAGAAGAACGCCCTCTGCGCAGCTGTCCGATTCCGACGAACGAAAAGTGGTCAACTAACAGTGCTTGTACACTTCAAGTGGCAATAAAAAAGAAGAAGCAATTTTGATAGAAACAAAACAAACTTTTTCCTCCGATGTGTTTTAAACTTTTTTTTTTTGTTCACAAGACTTTTTGACCTTTTCTTACGGAAGTAATCTGCCTCTTACAAAAGCTATTATACATATGTGATGCAGAAAAAGGAACGAACATAAATTGGGCAAATATGGGAATGATTAATTTTCCTAGGCTTGTTGACAGCACTTGAAACGGAACACTGATGCTGTCGGAGCTACTTGAACTAACATTTCGGTCGGTTTGGGATCTGCTAACGAAAGCGTTCTTCCCTATTCATTTTTATACGAGGCGCTACTCTTCAAAAACTTCTTTCCGGCGTCCCGTCCTCTTTTGCCCGGTCTTATCTGTCCTCTTCTTGCCCTGGCATTTTTAAACCGATTTACAAAAATTGAGATAGAATTCACCTCTCCAAACAAAACGCATCTTTCCTTGATCTTATTTTTTTGAGGATTTTTTACTTTCTTATTATTTTTTTTTTTTGGTTCGTATAACGAAAGCTGCCCGCCGGGCAGACATGAACACTACCGTAACTGCAAACTGCGACGTATTGATTCTTGATTTCGCGGATTCATTTTCTTCATTTGCTTCCGTGCACTAGAGCGGCTTTCGTCAGACGGTTTTCCTACTTTTGTTTACTTTTTTTTGTTTTAAACTTTTTCTGTTTTTAATACTTTTTTTTTGTTTTTTGTTTTACTTTTCTTCATTCCTCTCCTACTCCTTCATTCTTGACTCGAGCGCTTCCTTCTTCTTCTTCTTGACCATCTTCATCTTCCCTTGTTCATATAAATTAAATCTAAAAATATATCTTTAATTAGTTTTCTTAAGTTTTGCTTCACTCTTTTTTTTTGTAATAATAATTTAAATTTCTTAATTTTCACAGCCGTGTTTTTTCATCTCTAATATAAATCTTTTTTTTTTTTTCGTTTTAAAAATGAACCCTTAAAAAGTGTATTCATTTCGTGTTTGCAAACTTTGTCTTTGTTTCGCCCACTGAATTATTGTATCTCTTTTAGCCGTTTTCCTACTTTCTTTCTATATATTATTACTTTTAGGATCTTTCAGTTTCCTTTTTAGTCCTTTAGCTTTCTTTGTGTATGTGTAAAGCCTGCACTAGCTAGAAAGAGTATTTGATTCAAGTCTACCGAGAGTTAATACTAGAGGCGAAAGGAGAAAATATATCTGTATGTATGTATATCCGGACTGCTACTTGTTGCTGGTTTGCTAACTATGCGGGGGAAGATTCTTTCTGTAAGCAGTTTTCTGGGTTTCTATAACCATTTGGTCCCCTCACATTGAGCATCTCTCCAGGGTTGCCCCCCTTCAGTCGCAAAAAAAAATAAACGAAAAACTTTCCGCGTACGTTACGAGTGTACAAATGTACAAAACAACAAAAAACCGATGGCACAGAAAAACGTAATAATTAAAGAGATCATTTCATGATATAGCGTTCCGCCGATTTCTAGGGCCTAGAACGCGATCGGCGGAGGTCGCAAAACTGACCTTAAAATTCTAGTGACTTTCGTTAGCACTCACACAAACAGCGCACTCTATCGTTCGGGTCACACACTCGCACAATTCGACTGGCGATAAAATGAACACATTTTTGCCATTTTTGTTGACTCTGGTTAATGCCTTTTTAGTTTCATTGCTTGCAGCTAAAGTACGTGCCAGCCTGTATAACTGTTTGCTGGTTTGCCTACATTCACACATGGGGCGGGGGTGATATCGGCCACAATAGCCGATGATATGTGTAGGTGTGGTCCCCCCCGGCATCCTCACCAAACCGTGCGAGGATTAATAATGCGAACGCACACTCATCACCACCGAGTTGGTTGATTGAACGCATGGTTTAGCATTTTTTGTTTGTTTCCTTTCTTCCTAATAGTATAGTGATCAGTCTTTTGAAGCTCACCTTCTCCATCAGCAATCAGGTGAGTTGCATCGGAACGCGCAAGTCAACCGCCACAAACTGCAGCAACAAATTGGATCGCCAATGGCAGCGATCATGACGTGATTGAGAGCGCCGAAGCCACCGGTATGAACAGTGGCTCACACTCGAAGATCGAACTGAGATCGTTCGTATCCTTCAGCCGTTGCCAGCAGGTGGAAAACACGGATTTGATTTGCTCGAAAATGTCCGCATCGAACACCGACCGAGCCGTGTTGGTCAGATCGAAGGGTTCTGGAATGGGTGAACGTTAGAGATTTGCTGTCGTATTTTTGGAATTGGGAGGATGGATGATTTTCGATAGTTACCTTCTATGCACAACTGCCGCCAATGGTGAGGATCGTTTTTGTAGCTTCGCGCTACACGTGCACTTTCGATCGAAATCACCGAAGCCGTCCGTACCGAGATGGCATAGTGCGCATAACTGTAAATGAGTCAAAGTAGCATAAAGAGTTTAGATACACGCGGTTTTCAAATGGTATAATAAGAAAGTAAATTGCAAATGATTAAATGTCTTAATTGATCAACAAAAAAAAACAAATGTTTACCATTTAACATTTGCGCATACATGATTTTGGTTTAATCTATTCCATTGACAAAATTAATTCCAGTATATATTATGTACGTAAGCTATAAAATCTACGGTCGTGTTTATTGTTGTTTTACATCAACAGGCTGGATGAAGCTCCAATGATGTTAACCTTATCAACTATAGTAAAAAAAATACATTCAAGCATGGTCATAGCATAAAAAAAAACATATATCTTATAGTCAGATACTCCTGCCAGCGAAAAACAGAAGAAAACTTTCGACGAAGCGCATCACGGGAGAGATGAAAGTCGAAAACAGTTGCAACTCTGTTGAATGTTCTCTGCAGTCCGCAAATCGCACCGTATGCTCCATAAGTTGTGCGACGTAGAGGCAGCCTTAGCATAAGGTTGTTACGAAGCGGTCGGGATTGAACATTCAGGTCAATTTGCCTCAGGATAGCCTCGCAATCTGTCCTTCCTTGCAGGATATCGGCCACGGTTAGGTCACTGCTTTTGTCTCTTCTAGTCCGGAGAAGTTCTAGGTCGATTCGTAGGAAGATTTTGAGGTCATCTGCAGAGCTTCGATGATCAGATGCACGTCGTTGAAGTACAGTATAAAAATCAACTGTCCCATGTGGCTTCCCTGCGGTAAGTATACCTGATGTGGCGACGAAGCTAGCTGGTCTGCTATCTCCTATGGCAACCTTTAGTTGCCGACCGGTAAGATATGATCAAAACCAACTCAGAAGATTACCGCAGATTACCGAGTTTAGCAATCGCAATAGCATGGTTCAACTTGTCGAATGCTGCGGATAGGTCTGAATAAATAACGTCCGTTTGAAGCCGATCCGACATGCTTCCGATATACGATATGAGACACAACAGATTGGTGGTTGTAGAGCGGCCGACAGTAAGCCCATGTTGATCAGCACTCAAATACTGCTTGCAATGGGACAGCAACGGTTCCATAATCACTGGCTCGAATAGCTTCGAAACGGCACTTAACAATGTAATTCCTCGATAGTTATCCACAGCTCGTTTCCCTCCTTTTTTGTGGACGGGAAACATGTGCGCAAATTTCCAGCAAGATGGAAATATGCCACTGGAGAGAGACATTCGGAACAGGCGAAGAAGCGGAATTAACAAGCTAGCAATGTGTCTCTCCAAAAATACAGATGGAACTCCATCAGGTCCAGGATTTAAGGATGACTTGAGCAGAGTCACGGCCTTGGAAATCATCTCAGCATTAACATCAATTGCACCCAGCGTTTGATCATTTACTGGAACGTTCCTGGCAGCCAGGTTAATATGGTCGTCAGTTAGTATCTCATTAGTGAATACACTGGCAAACTTTTCGGAAAAAAAGGTGGCATATATCCTAAACGGTGGCAGCATCTTCTCCGTTGAATTCCATAGACGATGGGAGGCCGGATTCCATGCGTTGCTCGTTCACGTAGTTCCAAAAGGATTTCGGGTGTAGCTTAAGTTTGCGCTGGATGCCTCGTTGGAAACTTGAAAAGCATTCACGACTAACTCGCTGGTGATTCAGCCTCACATAATGTAGTTTCAGAGGAAGCGTGCGATACTTCGTAAATCTTCTCAATGATTGACATTAACCTACGCAGCTCTGTCGTCTGCCAGGGAGGGTGAGACACTTTGTGGTGAGTTCTTTTCGGGACGTGTCTGTCAATGACATATGCCAAGACATGTGAAAAGGTTTGCGCTGCAGCCTCAACGTCATCTGGATCAAGGCTGTTCTCCCATACCATGCAAGACAATAAATCTATGATGCTACGGTGATCAGCTTTATGGAAGTCATAAGAAACTGTAGCAGGATAATCGTCGAAATCACGCACGAGTGTGTCCTCAACAGTGACAGTTAGAGGAGGGTGATGTGGAACTAACTTAGTTAGTGCACAAGGAGCCGAGGAAATTAATGGAGCCCTGTCCTGGTGCTCACGAAGCAGAGGTCCAAACTACGATCATTTTCGTTAACTACATGGTTAATTTGAGAAAGCGTCGCTGCGCTGGGGTTGTCGAGAAGGCTAATAGCTCCTGCGTTAAATGTAGAGCTATCAGGATCTGGGTACAGGAATCCGCTATGAGATGGACTCCACGAAACGCCTGGCAGATTGAAGTCACCAAAAATGAATATCTCATCAACTGGAGTGGCACTTTCGATAACTGTGAAAACTGACCGACAGTGAGTATCGATGAGTTCATTGTCCCGGACTCGATCAGCAAAACAACAATTAACTTGCTTTCCTTGCTGATGTTCTTTCTTCTTTCGCTGATTTGCACAAATAGCATTTATTTTGTAAAACACCATAATATATTCTTCCATCCTATATGGAGCATTTTCAGCTCAAAAAACAAACAAAAAACTGACAGCTTCAGAGTGGCCTCTGCATTGGGGAATTTAAATTCCCGGTTATTTCCTGGTTTTGACCGGTTGTCTAACATATGATAACATCTTCTTTACCACCGACTGAACCTCGCCTTTCCGATTGCCAACCTATGTTATCCGATGGACTTATGGTGTATTATCAAAATGTGCGTGCCCTGCGAACTAAGATTGACGACTTATTCTTGAATTCTGTTGACCTGGCTAGATGATCGAATTCACTTAGCACAATTATTTGGCAGTATGTTCTCAGTTTTTCGCAATGACCGTAACCGGATGAACAGTGCCAAATCAGGTGCTAGTGGTGTCTTGATTGCGGTTTCCAAACGACTGAACTGCTGCCTCGATTCTGCTCCGATCAGTACTTCTCTTGAGCAGTTATTGGTAAAGATTACGACATAACACAACACTATAAGCATCGGCGTTATGTAGCTTCCTCCTGACCGTAAACCTTATTTGAGCTGCGTTAATAACCATGCCAGTTCCATTGGTGCTGTATTGTCTCGATTACATCAAAATGATCTAGCTCTGCTACTTGGCGACTACAACCAGTCTAGGTTTGTTTGGAATATTTCCGCGAATGATCATTCAACCATTGACATTCTTCGGTCGTACATACCTGCTTCCTGCTGTGCTCTTTTGGATGGTTTATTTGTTTATTTGGTTCTACATCAACAGTTTGGGTTTAGTCCTAATGATGGATTAAGCAATACTAGGAAATACAATATAGTCAAGACATAACAAGCTGCAAAGGCCGTGAAGTCCAACTTAATTCCTAATTCTTAAAAATATATCACGAAACCCTTTGTACCCTTTGTACCCCATTGATAGCACCATACGAACTATAGTTTGTACGACGAAAAGGTATCCTCCGCATTGCGTTGTTACGGAGTGCTCGTGGTTGAACGTTAACGTCGAATTGTTGTAGAATAGAAGGACAATTGATTCTGTCCTGTAGAAGAGTCTGCCACAAAAAGGGCCCTTGTCGTATCTCTTCGACTCCACAAAGGATCCAGGTGAATTAACTGGCACCGACTTTCGTAGCTTGGAAGGCAATGAGGATCCCTCCAAGGCAATCGTCGAAGGGCAAACCAGATGAATCGCCGTTGAATAGACTCTACTCTTTGTACACTGTTTTGGTAATTGGGATTCCATACAGGAGAGCAGTATTCTAACACAGGGTGGCCAGTGAATTTTTTCATTTTGAAATTCCCTGTTTTTTTCCCGGTTTTCCCGGTTCAAATCTTAAAAAATTCCCGGTTGTTAATATTCAACAAAAAACGAAATTGAACGCATTTTTAAGAACGTGCTGAAAGGAATTTAGTGAAAGGATAAAAAAAAATGATTTAAGAAGATTCCCAAGATTCTGGGCTTTACAATTTGTGTAGAGTCTGAAACTTAAACTTTTTTTTTCATAATTTGAGATTAATACAATCTTTGTGATGCAAGATTTGGAGAAAAAATAACTAAAATGTGAGATTTTGAAAAAAAAAATCACAGTATTTAAAAAAAAAATTATACTTATGAGTCGTGGAGTCATAATTGTCACGCTCTAAGAATTGGAAGCATTTTAAGAGTCATAACAAATTACAGAACAATCTATAGAATCTAGCGGACAAACCCTGGCACTTTTAGAAAAATTTAAAAGAATTCAAAGTGTTGATTTCAAACAAATATTGAGAAGGATTCCCACACAGTTTTCGAAGGAGAAGTTCGGAGCAGAATCCTTGAATTATTCTGACACAAAATTCCTACGTGATTTTGAGGAGATTTGTTTGGGGATCGTGAGGAAAATGACAGATGAATTTTAAGAAGAATTCCAAGAGAATTATGAGCAGAATTCAACAAGAAACAAAGTTCTAAGAGTGTTATGGCAATAATTTCAACCCTAGAGCGAAAAATTCATCACAGAACTGATTGCAAAAAAAATAAATGGCTGATATTAAGAAAGAAATTCTTTACAATACTCCAAGGGGTTTCTAAATAAAATTTCTAAAAATTTCTACTGTTTTGAATAGAGTTAGAAGAAATGTTTGAAAAGATTTTCAAATGAATCAAAGTCTCCGGATAGGCTCAAGGGAATTCTAAGAAGGATTCCAATTAACTTCTTACAAGTGGTTGCAAGGAAATTCCAAAAAGAATTCAACGGTAATTATTACACTGAGTGTTTTCTGGTTTATTTTAGAATAATTTCAAGGTAATTCAGAGCAGAATTCCAAGTTAATTTTGGAGTTCATATCATGAGAATTTTAACCAACGAAAAATTAAAACCCCGGTTTTTACAAACATTTGTTTCGAAAGTCCAGCATCTTCAATATTTTCTTTTAAGGACCATGCACTTTACATCTGAAATTGAAATGACAAAAATCAATTTGCAATATTGCTGAGTGATTAAATTATAAAAAACAATAAAACGGGAGACTGAAGAAAATCATGCAACTAATAGAGATATTTATTTGATAAAGGATCACTCCGTTTTAATGGTTTATTCTGAAACTCTGGTGTAAAAGTTTGTTCTTATGGTATGGTTAATTTATTTTTCCCGGTTCCCTTGCCGAATTCCCGAGTTTTTCCCGGTTTTCCCGGTTAGTTTTCAAATTCCCGGATATTTCCCGGTATTCCCGGTTTGCTGGCCACCCTGCTAACACCGACCGGACGAGGGAGCAGTAAAGCGACTTCAAACAGTAGATGTCCGTGAAACTTTTAGCTATCCTGAAAATGAAGCCGAGCGTTCTGGATGCCTTGTCGATCACGTACGAGATGTCCTGGCTGTATGTGAGTTGACAATCTAACATGACTGCCAGATCCTTAATGTGATTCACACGATGTACGTCAACGCCTTCTAGGATATAACTGAATTTAATTGGATGTTTCTTCCGTGAGAACGTGATTACTGAACATTTTGTTGGCTTTACAACCATCCGGTTCAGTTGGCACCAATTAGCAAAAGCGTTTAGTTGGAGTTGGAGAAGGTGGCAGTCAGCGATGGCTCGGATTCGGAAATAGATTTTCATGTCGTCTGCGAACGACAGAAACTAGTCGTGGACGAGGACGAAATTGACGTCGTTGAAATACACAAGAAATATCAGCGGGCCGAGGGGCTACCTTGTGGAATACCCGAAGTGGCAGGGAACGAAGGAGATCGGCAGTCGTCGATTGAAACTTCCAACTGACGATCAGATAGATAGGATGCGAACCATCGTAGGAGACTGCCGTTTATACCGAGCCTATCCAGTTTGGCGATCGCTATAGGATGGTTCAACTTGTCGAAGGCGGCTGATAGGTCAGTATAGATGACATCTGTTTGCATATGGTCTGTCATACTCTCCGTACTGTACGAGGTGAGACACAGAACGTTGGAAGTAGTCGACCAACGACCAACTCGAACAGTTTAGATATGGCACACAACGATGTGATGCCGCGATAGTTGTCGATGTTTCTTTTTCATCCCTTCCTATGCACTGGAAACATCTCAGCTGATTTCCAGCAGGAAGGAACGACCCCACTGGAGAGGGACATTTCGAACAGAAGGTAGAGAGGAGCCACCAGGCTATCGATGTGTTGCTTGAAAGACGGAAAGAACCCCGTCAGGTCCAGGCTTAAATGAAGACTTCAGTTGCGAAGCCGCCCTAGTTATCATAGCGAGGTCGATGTTGATAGCTGCCAAATATTGACCAGACATTAGAACATTACTGGCTGCTAGAGTAACGTGCTCGCCAGGTAGGTTCTCATCCGAGGATACACTCGCAAACTTCTCAACCAAGTTTGCGAGTGTATCCTCGGATGAGAACCTACCGACGCCAAATGTCCTGAGGGGATGAAACTTCTTCGCTGTTTAGTACCATAGTCGATGGAAGGCCAGATTCCTTGCGTTGCTCATTCACATATTTCCAAAAAGTTTTCGGGTGAGATCGAAGCTTCCGTTGAACATCTTGTTGATAACGCCGATAACATTGGCGACTGGTTCGGTGATACGCAGGGGCCTCCCTTAGCTCAGTCAGTAAAGGCGCAGCTACAAAGCAAGGCCATGCTGGAGGTGGCTGGGTTCGATTCCCGGTCCGGTCTAGGAATTTTTCGGGTTGGAAAATTTCTCGACTTCCCTGGGCATATAGAGTATGATTGCACTTGCCACACAATTATACTAATGCATAAATGGTACAGGCATCGAAAACTCTCAATTAATATCTGTGGAAGTGCATCTAGAACCCTAAGTTGAGAGCACGCAATAAGCTAATATGCGATATGCAATAAGCTTAAAATGCGAAGAAGAAGAAGAAGATAATGGTTCTTGAGTTGTAGGGTGTGTTACTTGGTGTATTCTCTTAGCGCGGCTCTTTTGGAAGACTTTAACATACGGAGTTCACTTGTTTGCCAAGGATGATGATTACCTTGTTTAGGAACTTTTTTCGAAACGTGTCGCTCAATGAATTAAGTCAAAATATGCGAGAGCGTTTGGGCAGCTGCATTGACATCGGCAGGGACGAGGATCCTGTGCCAGTCCAAATTCAAAAGAAGTTCACCGATACTGTCGTAGTCAGCATTTCGGAAATCTTGGGACACCTCTAGGGGGGTGTAATGACCTCAGGAAGTTGGTTGCCTTCAAGTGCAATAACTAAAGGAGGATGGTGTGGAACAGTCTTTATCAACGGAGAAACAGCCATAGACAAATGCGGAGCAGTATCCTCCCATTAACCACGTGGTTGATTTGCTTCAGAGTGGCGATACTGTAATGATCCAAAAGGCTTACAGCTACAGAGTGAAATGTAGAACGGTCGTGGTTTAATGCAAATTAATTCTGTACCAAACAGAAACTCTCGGCTGCTTGGTCTGGTGCTGGTGAACGAAGCCGTTGCACTAGAGTGCAGTGTTGCCTCGGATACATCTAGACGCCGATCATCCAGCGTTGGAAGCATTAATCAATCCATCAGCTCCTATTCTCTATGAAGACATCGCTGATCTACACAGCCCGGACTTTCGTAGAACTGACTTCGTTGCATTGAATCACTGACTGGTCCAGGTAGTCTGACAATCGCTTGACTTTTGTTCGTCCATTGATGAAGCCGTTAACTTCTTCGACGTAGTTGTGAGCCGATTAATAATGGCTTGTGTGCCTCTGAGCAGACCTGCTCCAAAACAGGCATGGTCTAATAAGCAGCTATCATTCGAAAAAGCGATTTCGATTTGAATGGTCTGAGGTTTTATTTGAACAGAGGATGATGTTTTGGAACAGTGTACCTCCCGCGAATCCAGCCCCGTGCAACCAAGCTCGGTTTTGTCTGAAGACAGCTTAAAATCGGGTTCTCGGAAAGGGTGAAAATCATATAATAGAATTGCCGAAAAGGAAACGAAATTAGCGGCTGTCACTACCGAGTGAGACGAAATTATCATGGCTACTTTCCTCGTGAGAATTTTCTTGCTTGAATGAAGTTCTCTCGTTCTTTGCTTTAACTTTTCTTTCTCTGTCCCTACGGTACGGATAAAAAGTGCCGTTTCCTAAATTTGTTTGAAAATTGTAGAGCCCTTTTTCAATTTGATTTAAAGAAATATGGACAATCACGGAGTTTTAAGACACCGGGACTTGAACATACAATTAATCAACAAATCAAAAAATAGAACTCAACAACTCAATATTGACCTGATTTTGTCAGCCCCCTATTTGAAACTCAATTTTAATGATCTACGTAACCCATGTGTTTTTCAATGGTCTTATTGCACCAAAGTATACTTTAAACATCCATCTTGAAGATGAATGAGAAAGATTTTGAATTCCAGCTATGTGAAATTATTGAAAGATAAAAGTGTGATCCCGGACAAAATCGGGTTATTACTGTAGTTGGAGAGTTCCCTGATTGATGGCAATATGTCGTGATATTTCCTGGTTTTCCAGACATTTTTAGATCCCCTGATAATTCAAGGTTTTCAAGGGTTTTCAGGTAGTTGCCACTCTGTAGTTTCAGCTTCTCAAGGAACATATAATATGCACATTCTCCAGTTGCCACATCTGTTTTAGCTATTCCGTTACATAGTGGTACTTTTTAACTTCAAATCGTTAACATAGACAGGACATAATCCCGATCCAACAGTATTTTTTTTTTTTTCCTTTGGTTTTTTTTTCCGTCGATCTTGTTTTCCGTGCTGAGCACCAATGCTACCGACGTGCCAGGAAGGCAGCTCCCACACCTGGACCCTACCTATCGACCCATCAACTCATGAACCGGGGACCAACGGCTTTACTTCCCATCCGAAGGAAGGCGTGATCAGAGATGTTATGCCTCAGAACATCCCGGCGGCGCCGACTGGGATTGAACCCAGGCCTGCTGGGGTGAGAGGTAATCACGCTTACCACTACACCACCGGCGCCAATGATCCAACAGTACTCCGACATCGATGAGAGTTACCCGTTTAATCCATTAAAATACGGTAAAATTTGTCGCATATCACAATTGGCAATTCAAAGGAAAATTGGCTCCCGGTTTCAAGAGTTGACATTAGTGACGCCTAAGCACCTTAATCGTCGTTTAGAGATCCTGTCGTCGCCCAAAACTCACTCATTTGCCAGTTAATATCTTCATTCATGTATATACTTACTCAAAGTTGGCATAATACTCCAAGAACTGCACGAAAAGCTCGCCCAAAGATGCGGAATTATCGTTTTTGTAAGGTTCCACCGTTTCCGTAAGATCCAACGTGCTGATATCTGACATTCGCTGCAATAGAAATCAATATGCTATCAAAACATTCCACAACCCCTCGCATCAGAAGCACCATACCAGAAACTTATCCGGATACATTGCATGCAAGCAGGGCAATATCGGAGGGCTCACTCCGTACTGCAGAAAATGGATCACCATAAGTACAAGCGAGTAGCTAGAAATGGTCATATTCTTCGCATCGTTAATATTGTGATGCTGGGCCCACAGTTTGACGACCAATGTCAACGGTCGCAGGCGCCAATCCACTGTAAATAGACAAAAAAATTATCAATTATTAAACAACCAACCACCTTCATGACGGACACTTACTTTGCGAATACAGATACAGCAGGTGGGTGTTTCGGATGCCAACGCAATTGTTGTAGTTCAAGTCCACAACGATCGAGTTGATGGAATCTCGGAACCTCAGAATCGGCACCTTGGCTTGGATGACACTGAATTCCTCGAAGTACGTGCTTATGTTCATAAAGTAGTTCTTCAGTTGACCCAACTGGACCAGTGCTTCCCCTCGCATATCGAACGAAACGTTGTTGGTTCGGCATACCAAGCACATATCCACATCGGAACTGTCAGAAGCGAACCCGGAGATGGTACTACCAACCAGATACAGACTGAAACGCGGAAATGTCACCCTAATGCACATGAACAGATACCTCCAGAGATGGATCTTCTGGACGAACTTGTCCTGCGTTTGCTGAGCGGCGGCGAATTTCTCCCAAATGGCTGTCGACAGTGGACCGTACTTGCTTCCACTCGGTGCCAATTCAGCCGGTGGCGAAGTTAGTTCTACCAGGTGAGCTCGAGCCAAAAACCGATCAGCCGGTGTGTGCATATTGACACCATCGAAAGGATACATAAATGGCCCATTGGCGATCGGGCTTACGGGCGCAGCTGGCATTGGTTGTGAAGCTGCTGGGGATGTGGCGGCATTAGCGGCTGGTTGCTGAGCATTCCGGTTAGATGCCGTCGGACTGGATTGTTGACTAGAAGCTGTTGTACTGCCGGAAACACTTACACTTGGTGGTCGGTTTGCTTTTTGGAAAGCGGCATGCGGAACAGGTGATGTGCGACCGGAGTAGCTGAAAGTGATGAATGTGTTTTTTTGGAATTTGAGCATTCGAATGCCTAGTATTCAAAGGACTTACCGTTTCTTCGGATGTCCGCTCTGCATCGAGTGAACCTCGTTGGGCGGCACCGTAGACGCTGGAGCACTTCCATAACCACTGCTTCCACCGTGACTAGCAATGCTGCTATTACTGTTGTTGGAACTGGTCGATGCCGCTCCCGAGCTTTCGTTTCCCGTTGGCAGAGCCAGTTCCAGCGAGTTGTCACTGCCGTAGTGCGAGCTTGGCTGACTTCGTTGCTGCTTTTGTTGGTGAGAGTGCGGTGGTTGTTGTTGTACTTGATGATGCTGCTTTCCAGTAAATAGTTCACTGAACATTGGCATGGATTGCGTTCCGATCATAGAGCGAGGTGTACTGATGGGTGAATCCGGTGGATTGGGACTAGTACTCGCACTGACTGCCGTCAGGTTCTGATGTGAACCGTGATAACTCTGACTTCGCAAAAAGAAATCTGTCATTTGAGCAGTCATTGCCGTAGGTGTGTTGTTGGCGGACGCAGACGATGACGGCATCGAACAATAGTCCGAGGTGAGCGGCGGAAAAGTGGCTGTCGATGAAACACCCGAAGAAGTGGACGAGGAAGACCGGTAAACCTGACCACCGTTGGTGTACTTTCGATGTCGGTAGGTGTTACTTTTGTAGCTAGAGGAATGTGAAGAGTCGGATTCGTAGCCCTGTCCATTTCCGCAGTCCAGTTCCAAACTGAGATTCTGCGCAGCTGACGCCGAGATGGTGGAAGAATCCGTCGACGGAATCGACACCATCGAGGACGAGGAAGACGAAGAACTCGGAACGGTGCCCGATTTCTTGTGTTTGTTTACGGCTTCTTCGATTCCACTGTCGGAACGTTCATCTTGAAGTGCACTCCGGGTGGGAACAGTCGTTTGACTTGCCTCGGTCGCTTCGATGGTGGGACTCGCCGACTGTGGACTGGGCGTAGGTGACCGGCTTGTGCTGTCATGGCTTCCGGGTGCCCGCTGACCACTGTTGTAGCCCTTGATGTAGATCAGATTGCGAAGGGCTTCCGATTGCTGTTGATTCTGGTTATGGTCATAGTGATGACCACCACCGTAGTGATTATTGTTGTAGTAGTTATAACTCTTGCGATAGCCATAATTGTAGCCGGAACCCTTGTTGCCGTATTTTCCGTGAATGATTTTCTTGCCGTTCGACCAGCTGCTGTTCCACGTTTTCTTACCGCCGCCATTTTGGAGATGTCCGCTGTTGTAAAGAAGATAAGATAGGTAAATAATTAGGACGACGGGAATTTTGAATATCTACAAGTACCGTATTCCAAGGGATTCCTGGAAAAAAATCTTTGAGAAAAACATCAAGAGCAATCTGCTTTCAAGGGAGCACTTAGGAACTTTAGATTTCACGTAAAGTCAGAGATAGTTGTGAGTAGAATTTCTAGAAAATCCTGAATTGAGTTCAAAGTAAAATTTAATTGAAACTCATAGGAATTTCTGAGGAGCAGAACGCCTGGGAACTTCGGTGGAAAATTCCAACGGTATGCTGAAGATAATTTCATGAAGCTTGGATTTTTTTTTTTTTTTGTTGCGAATGCTTAGAGGGTGAGGAGGATGCTACAAGGAGGATTACAATTAAATCTGAGAATAAATCCAGGAGATCTTCAAAGCAATTCGGAAAAGAATTCCAGGAGAGTTTGCCAAACAAATTATGAAGAGAAATCAAAGAAATTTGTGAGCAGAAGGGCGAATGATTTCATATGAGACTTTCAATGTCAGTAGAATTCCAAGCGATGGAGTGATACTCAAAAGAAATTCTGAAATGAATTCAATCAAAATCCTGAGAATCTTTCGAAAGCATTTCTTACTGAGGAGATAATTCCGAGGAAAATTAAATTCGGAGGATAGTTTCAACGAAATTTTGAGGAATATTACAATGGAATTGCGAGAAGTATTCTAAGGCTGTGTTCAATTAGGAGAATTTTCACTTAAATTTGACACTTCGAAAATAAATTATAATATTCGAAAATCCCTCTGTTGTTATCTTTTGATTTTCGAGAAACTGTTTATCAAAATTGATTCCTGATATGTCAGAAATAAATCTGGTACAATAGCAGATTTATTTGAAAATTTCCCAAGTCAAATTTAAGTGAAAATTCACCAAATGGAACATAGCCTAAGTTTATATTTCCATGTGAATTTCAAGAATAATTCCGTGGGAGCTTCGGGAGAATAACAAAGGAATGGACTATTCTGAAGTCTTCAGAACTACAAATTTCTCCTGAAGTTAATGAAACTGCCTTGAAGTTCTTTTGTAGTTTGAGAAACTAGGTTAGGATAGGTTATCTTTATTAGCGAGACTTTCAGCCAGAGGCTGGTTCATCTCTTGGTTGAGAAACTAGCTCACAATACTTCTCATCAAATGTTTTAACTTCCCTGAAACCCTAAAGTTTTTTTCAATTTTCATAACGATCATGGATCTTCTCAAAAGTTTAAACAATTCGCTTAAGTTCTCTAAACTTCCTTTAAACTTAAGTAATTTCTGTTAACGGTACTGCTCTGAGGTTCTCTGTTATTTTCTGAAGTTATCGAAACCTTTGAAGTTCTCATGAACCTCGTTGTACTGCCCTGAATTTAAATGAACTGCCCAAAAAGTGTTTAAGCTTCCGTGAACTTCTGAAATCATGTGAAGACCACAATGATCTTCTTATCTTCGCTGAAAACTTCTTAAAAATTTCCCACTGATTTTCTGAAACTAATAAAACTGAACCCTCCCTGAAATTCCCCCTATTTTGGAGCCTACTAAACAGTTTACACACTGCAAGAAGAATGATCAATCTTGAAATAAATTCACGCTAAAACTGGACAAGTTGACCGTTTCCGGAAAAAAATACCATGCCATCCAAGTGTTGATAGAAAGATCACAGCCTAAATGGGACTAAGCGTACCTGTTCAAGCGATCATGCAAATTGATGGTTCTACCCCTAAATTCCCAAGCAACGGACAGTGCCCTGCCACCGGAAAACACCGAAGAAGTTAACATATAGATTGATTCACTCACCCGCCTCCTGGCAAAGCCCGTCCGTAATTCCGATTGTGCTGCTGGTAGTTGTTGTTCTGATGGAAACCACCGCCATTGCTGAACGGTTGTTGCTGTTGATGGTGCTGCTGCTGCTGCTGGTGGTGCGGGTGATGCTGTTGATGCGTAGAATGATTGTGCTGCTGCTGCTGCTGTTGCTGGTGATGGTGGTGCTGATGATTTTGCGAATAGCAATATGCCATTCCGGAATCATTTGCACTGTTACCACCCGTCCCCGCAGCAGTTAAGGTTGTGACACTACTGCCGCCACTGGCCAAGTGATCCGAAACGCTGAAATTAGTGTACATTGGATCGGCCACACCGGAAGTCTGAAGCAACAGTTCATCACAGTTGTAAAAATTTGGATAGTGCCTTTGCAGATGCTGAAACGGTTGCTGTTGCTGCTGCTGCTGTTGTTGTTGTTGCTGTTGGTGTTGATGTATCAACTGTTGCTGTTGCAGCTGTTGGTTGAAATGATTGTAGTTAAAATGTGGATTGGCACGTAAAAGCGCGGAAGCGGCTGCCGAGGATGCATTCACAGACTGACTAGTTCCGTTAGCGGTAGACATTCGCATGCCAACGTAGTGCAAAAAGTCCAAACTATAATGCGGGGGAGTAGTGGGTGCCATTTGCTGCTGCGGTTGGCCATGATGCTGCTGCTGCTGGCCTTGTCCCGGCAGGTGCGAATGAGTGGAATGATGATGGGAAATATGATGCGGCTGTTGCTGCGGCCCGATAATCGAGTTCCGCAGTTTCCCCTGGAGCATCGCAATCGGATCCAGTGGCGTTCCGGACATGGGGTTCACGTTCGGCAGTAGCACCTTGCCAGCGTTGGCTGCCCGAGTGTTGTGCCTCGAATGATTTGTTGGTGATGTTGTTAGCACTGCCGGCGATGATGTCGACATTACTGGAGATGTCTGAGATGAATGCGAGACTGAGGACGGTAACGATGGCGATGGAATGACGGTTCCCGCGGATGATGAATGTGATGACGAAATGGTCGCTGCCGGATGACGATGGTTCGTGCTGAAGCCTCCACTCCACAGCTTGAATAGAAGAGGAGAGGGAACACACGGATGTACGATTAGATTTCTGCGTAAGCGTCGAAAGCTTTTCTCTGCCTTGTGGTCCATTTGATGAGGATGTTAATGAAACCGAAAAAAACAACACAAACAAAAACACCACGATGAAACCCAGAAGAGGCTTCCGGTTGTACTTCGTTGCAGCAGACCAAGCCTGACATTCTAGCCTTCAAATCCGTTTAACACAAACTCTTCCCGCTGATACAACATGGCAGAAGTCTGGCTTGCTTTGATTGAACAAAACAAAAAAAAAACATTGATTTGAACTACAAAACAGAAAATAATGGACCACATCACATACAAAGAACAAACATTCCCAACTTACCTTCTTCTCTCCCTTGCTGTGGGAACCGCCGGTGCCATTAAGGCCACCTATCACCGGCGTATTCGAATTGCGCTTCGCCTCACCGTTAGCTTCATTCGGCTGGCCAGGTTCTTCCTTTTTCTTCACATGTTGGGCAATTACCACAACCGTGGCTATTGGTTCCTTGACATGAACTACCGTTGGACACGTTGCCACCGCTCGCTTCTTGCCCTTCAACAGCCCGTTAATGTCTTTAGTACTATCACTTAAACTATTACTACTACTATTACTGCTAGTATTGCTGCTAACGCTACTCGACACACTTCCCGAAGTTGCCGTACTACTGACACTGCTACTTCTCTCACTGTTAGCTTTACTGGCCTCACTACTGCTGGTGCCACTTCCGGCGGAGTTCAAAACCCCGCCTCCAGCGGACTGTTTTTCGCTTTTCCCATGATTCTCCTGTCCGGCCGTTTGCCCACTCGGCACAATCTTCACATTATATGCCCTCAGGCTATTGAAAATGTTCTGCTGTTCCCGCCGCTTCCGGTTGGGCGAATTGGTTCGATTACTTTTCCTTCGATTGGCACTGTTCAGCGTCGATATAACTGAAGATCCGTGTGCCACATTGGCCGGAACAGTCTTTATCGCATTCGCCGATACTGGTGCAGGTGTTGGAGCTACTGCTGCTGCAGCTGCCGCCGGTTGAGCCGTGGTGGATGTTTTATTGCTTACTTTCTTGCCGTTTGCTTGCGGCTCATTGCCATTGGATCCATTCTGGTGGAACGACGGAACAATGTTCTCTACATTTTGGCGATCTTTAGTCGCTTTTCCACCCCCGGTGGCTATCAAATTGCCACCCTTGCTCACGGCGATCGGTCCATTCGTATGTACCATTGCCGGCGGATGCATTTTCTTCGTAGACATTAAGCTTACTCTCGTGTTTAAACCACTTTAAAAGTTGCCAGCTTCGTAGCTTTTACTTTCTAGCAGCGAATTTCATATGAGCACAATGTCTCAACTTAATAATAGTAGGAAGATTGATAGGGAAGGTAGGGCGAATAAATAGAACTAAATAAATAAATAAATATTCCTTTTAAAATAATAACTACTACTGCGGCATCCGTCGTCGGTTCAGACTCGCACAACTCTTATGTGTGTGTGTGTGTGTGTGGGGGGGGGGCAGTTTTGACTTGAGATTAACTTTGCGGGGTCCTGATACCGCGCTTGTTTTCTTTTCGTTCGTCGAAAGCAGAATTGTTTCTCTTTTCTGGATGATTGTTAAACGACTTGTGGCAGTCAATCGAAATGCCACCAGCCAGATTGACGCTCTCCGAAACCTTGGATGGTGATTTACTGCTCAATTGATGGCTGTTTTAGTTACATTTTGATAACCGTACGATGTGGAACGAACCATTCCAACGAGAGCTACACATTCTAATCCTGGAAAGAGAGAAACAAACCCATTAACGTCAAGTTAAGTTAGTTTTACAAGTTCGAAGTATACTAAGATCACAGGCAAACAAACATAACTCTCGCACGTTGTTCGCCGTACACGCATTTAACGGGCAATATACAAAAAATCTAGTTTATTCAGTGATGACCCAATTTTGACAGCCCCCTTTTTGAAAATATTTGTTAATGCTCTACGAAACCAATGCGCTTTTTCAGTGGTTTTATTGCACCAGAGTATACCTGAGAAAGATTTGAAATCACAATTATATGATTGCGCGCAGGGGCCGACAAAATCGGATCATTACTGTACTGCCCATAATCGCATATAAGTCCTATCTTAGCTCGATTTCCTATCCATATGGGACTGATATGCGATTATGGGTAATGTAGCCCCATAACGTGGGTAGATCACCTTATCGTGGTACGTTACGAGATGTAAGATCTACCGCCGATTCCTAGTCCGAACTTTTGAAGTAGGGGAACAGGATTTTTTAGTCATCAAAGGAACACATCTTTGTACACTGGAGTCGCTTTTTACGCGGTTTTTTTTTTTACGCGGTTTTTTTTTAAACGGTTTTTTTTACGCGGTTAGTGCCGCTGAGTCGCAATTTACGCGGTACGTTTTTAACGATTTCTCGACAACGATACGTCCTATCGACTTGATTCCAATCACATTATCCGTTTCAAACTATTAATCAAATGGCATACTTTTAAAAAAATCACAATTTTTGGTGTAAATACAGAAATTTTTAAAATATGTCTATATGGACCATAGCATGCTATAATAACGAATGGCATCAAAATCCGATTTATAAAAAAATATTTAAGCATGTGAAAAATCAAAATCTCGGTAGTTTTTTTTTACGCGGTTTTTTTTACGCGGCACATATCCCCCGCGTAAAAAGCGACTCCAGTGTACTTGTTACGTTTTATACCTTGTTAGTAGTGACAAGTCCTCGGGTTGCATCACCGAGGATGATCTTGAAACAAGGAAAAAATGGGTTAGTCTTTATCTATTTGATTCCTAATCTTCTATTCGTTGTTCTCTAGTTTGAAGTGATTAAGACTAGGGTTCTGATGCATGGTCATTATCGGTGTCATTGCTTAATTTCGTTGCTTAGGAATCCAATTTTGACTGACATAGGGGTGCGCCATTGGAGGGTGCTCTCACTCTTCGAAGGGTATAAATAGCGGGACCTTTAAATTAGAATCGATTCCTTGTGATGAAGGCGATTGTGTTTTACGTTTGCGAATGTAGGTTTCGGTTCGGGAGAAAATGGTTTGTTTACAAAATGGAGTTGAGGCCTTTTCAATTGTTGGTCTGGAACTGTATCAAAACCAAATACTTCATCATTTCTCAATAGTGATGGAGTAATACGACATTCTCTAAACTAAGGACACGGGATAAATTACAATAAATCAAATTACTAGTCGCAGTGGATTTATGTCCCGAACAGAGGGGAAAAATGGGTAGTGTACCGTGGACCCCCAGTAATCTGACCGTTTTTAATTCGAACACTTTTTAGTTTGAACCCCGCTAATCTGCACGCTGCACAGTGGGACGAATTCAAAAAAAGTGGGACATGGCTATTTGCGACGAAACTATTGAGTATAGCTTTTTGTTGTCTTCTAGAATGTTTCTTTTTTTAAGTAGTTTATTTAAGTAGTAAAAATTTTGGTTAAGGAGGGTATATACTCAGATAAAAAAATAACCTTTTTATGTCTTGTTAAATTTGATGAACACCTATGGAAACATTGAAGATGAAGTCTTTTTAAAAAACTTTGTCCAAAACTTTCTATCTCTCAAGTGGACGAAGTTATATGGTGAAAATGGACGACAAACGGTAGTACCCCCTAAAAAAACGTTTCTTCACCATAACTTTTTTCTTTGAATTTTCTCGTTTTTTAAATATTCTACAAAGTTGTAAGTGCTTATAAAATGCACATTTTTGCAGACGACAGTAAATCGCTATCTCTTTGTTAAAAGGATTTACGCCAGTTTTTACATTTTTTTTTCACACTATCTTTAAGGGGGTGTACCTTGCAGGTTAGCAGGTATTAGCAGCTAATGACAACGTCATTTCCAGGGCTGTAACAAGATTTTCTAAATTTGATCTGCGAAATCCGCGATTTCTCAAAAGAAATCCGCGACTTCAAGTACTAATCCGCGACAGAAAAACTGTTTTCATTGCCGAAAAATATCATTACAAGCCTTTTGCTTATAAAGTAGCATATTAGATTTTTGCCTGCCCTCAACTTAGTGTTCTTTGAAGTACTTTCACATTTTAATTGAGAGCTTTCTATGCCTGTACCATCCTGTTCCCAAGAAAGTAGAGAAATTGTCCAACCCGAAAAATTATTAGACCGAACGGGAATCGAACTCAGTCGCCTTCAGCATGGACTTGCTTTGTAGCTGCGCCTTTTGTTACTTTTTAATTTTTTTAATAGCATTGTATCATCTTCATTTATTTAGGTATAGTTTAAATTCTGAGTAATTAGTGAAAATAATAAAACACCCTTACATTATGAGATTCTATTGAATAATATCGGCCTAGATTTTATGAAATATTATTTTTTTTTTAATTAATGCGTTTTCATTTGAAATGCAAATTTTCTTGAAAATTAACCTTTGCGTCGCTGACCTATTTTGCTGTCCTAAATGTTGTAGTTAATTTGGCTCTAGTATTCTCAATTTTTTTTTCCGATTCAAACCAAGCACCCTGCACATAATCGAGAAATTACCAGAGATTCATAAGTCACACTTGTTGGTCACGTCGCAGTTGTGTATTTACACGGATATTCCTTGGGTTCTGTCAAATGGTGAGAAATCTTCATATTTTTTTTATTTCTAATCCGAACCTAGCACTTTTTGGTGTCAAATTATATTGGAATCGTATATATGTGACTTTGTGGATCATGTACGACTTATTACTATGTACCTATACCGGAAATTATAGGTTTTCCAAATCGTCCAGGACAGCTACGGAAACTGCTCTTAAGATCTGAAATTCCCCAAAAATCTCTAAATCTAGCTTTTCTGAGGTACTTAGAACTTCTAAAAATTTGCACAATACCCCTCATGTGTTCTATGTTTCTCAAGTTCGTTTGACACCTGTGAAGTTCTCTGAAATTCTAGGAACTTCATAAAAGCTCCCGAAAATTTACGAATGCTAAAAGAACCGCTTTGAGGTTCTTAAAGTTTCCAGTAAGTTCCCCATATTTTCAGCGTACTAACTTCCCTTATGTTCCCGCAGTTTGTTTATGGAGCTTCCCTGAAATTCTCAACATTTCTTTTCGTTACTCAGAACTTCTCCAAAGTTCCTACGTTTACGAACTTTAAATAAATCATTATTTTTTTTACTTGGTTCTGGCACTCTGAAAATTTTCAATATCTTGAACTTGTACATGGAATACGAAACTTCAAGATGTTGAATAATTTTAGATCCTGGACTAACTCAAATTAAGTAAGTTTTTTTTTAACTTTATTAAGTGAGAAATTAAGTAAGTTTTAAACTTCAACATTGAATGGATTTGATTGTAAAGCTGTTTCTTTAAAAGTGATTGCCATGTCTTAAACGTTTGTATAATTTGCTTTTTTGTTTTGATCCACCAAAAAAAAAAGCATATTTTTAACGCATTTAAAAAATAGCTTTTTTATTATAAACCTGAAATTTATCCGTTTAAGTACTGGAAAAACCTGGAAAATACAGGTTTTTTTTATTTAGAAAAATGAGTAGACAACATGTAGATAGAGAAAGACGATTAAACGCCACAAAGCAAAGAATGACCAATCTTGAAATAAATTCACGATTAAAAAAGTTTAAAATAGTGACTGATTACAAGAAAAAGTGACTTTAGTGACTTGGCCTTTAAAAAGAAACTTTTTAGTGACTGGTGTGAAAAAGTTACCAAGTCACTAAAAAGTGACTCGCTACCAGTTCTGATATAGAAGAATTTTTTTTTTTTTTTTTTTTTTCCTTGATTTGTTTTCCGTCGATCTTGTTTTCCGTGCTGAGCACCAATGCTACCGACGCCAGGGAGGCAGCTCCCACACCTGGACCCTACCTATCGACCCATCAACTCATGAACCGGGGACCAACGGCTTTACTTCCCTTCCGAAGGAAGGCGTGATCAGAGATGTTATGCCTCAGAACATCCCGGCGGCGCCGACTGGGATTGAACCCAGGCCTGCTGGGGTGAGAGGCAATCACGCTTACCACTACACCACCGGCGCCGCTATATAGAAGAATTGAAAAATCTGAAAATTATAAAATTATATTTGGTTGGAAACTGATTCTGAAGACGCAACATTGTGAAGCCTGTATTCCAATTCCGTGGTTCCCATAAAAACTTTTATCAGAGATGGCACTGTTCCCTTTGTAGTCATCGTAGAAAATCAGTATGGAAGAAGAGAGAAAATCAATATTTTCAATCATTAAATATCTACCTTCTTTGTAACATTTAATTTTAAATTCCGTGTGGTGCCCTTTCCCCTCTCGACCTCCATTCACCGCTCATTATATCAACATTTGTTGAAGAAGTTTCCAAAATGAGTTCTAAGCGATTAACCGACTAGTTTAAGATGCCTGCTGATCATATTTAACCATCGGAACTTTTATTTCACTGTTTATTGTAGAAAAAAATGCTTTTGTTTACATCCATATGAGCGTTAAATAGAAACCCAAAAACGATCAAGGGTTCCCTTCACCGCCCACTCCAAAAATAAACTTAAAATAGATATTACTATCAATATTTCATAACAAAGGCGAGTGTTTAATGAATATCAAATACATTAATAACTTACAAACCATATAATACGTCTCACGAGCTCAATCTCTCAACATGCCATGTATTTTGATAACACACGATTTATGATTTCCCTCTCACAGACTCCAGAATACAATACCTGAAACTGAAACAATTGTCGTTACCCTTATTTATGCATTTAGATTCACATCCGAAGTCCCTCCTTTTAAGCATACTCAACA